TGGTTGTCTGTCTCTATGTGTCAGCCCTGCGATAGTCTGGTGACCTGTCCAGGGTGAACCCTGCCTCTCGCCCGATGTCAGCTGGGATAGGCTCCAGCCCCCCCGCGACCCTCAGGAGGATGAAGCGGTTAGAAGATGAATGAATGAATGTAGTGTAGAGTACTGTTAGAGACCAAACAAACAAGAAATCCAGTTGTGTTTTAGTGAGTCATTGCTGCGTTTCCAATTTCAGGTGTTTTGTGGCAACCCATCACTGGGTCTTTTCTCTTAACCATAATAACCAAGTGTTTTTTGTGCCTAAACATAAACGTTAGGGTCTGTGTCCACATACTATTTTTTTCTCAGCACCAGCATCTTTTTTTCAATAAAGAGTGGGCGTATGCAGCTGCAGCTGGAGGAAAAGGTGTCGCATCCAGCAGCGTTTTTCAGAGCGCTCCGCCTTTTTGTGCAGCCACTCCGAGCGCTTTGAGTTGAAAGTCACTCAACTCTTCAGAAAGACGCTGGTAACGTCGCTGCTGCTTCTCTAGTGAGGCTGCTGTCTTGCTGTCACAATAAAGACAGTTCACTTTGTAAGCTTGAAGTTAACTGTGTAGTCAATAGGGAATCGGGTATCGGCACCGATGACGTTATTTTTACAAAATCAGAATCGGTAATAAAAGATCGGAGGAATGAAAACAACAAAAATGGCCAGGTTTTTCATCTATGTTGTTCATTGTTGCCTCTGCTTTCCAATGTATTGTAACCAAGCGTCCTGAGTTCGCCTAACTGAGTACAGCTAATGAGCAATAAACGGACAGGAGTCGAGACAACAGGTTCAGCGTCCACTTTTTTCCGAGCAACACAGCCACACCTAACGGCAGAACCTCGCCTACCACAGCCCTACGGTAACTCTGGAGGGACAATTTGTTTACAATTCAGAATTTGTTTACATTTTGTGCTGCTGAACCACTTTTTTTTTCTTTCTTAATACTTTGCAAAGTATCGGATCAGACTCGGTTTCAAAATAAAGGACTCGTATCGGACTCGGTTTCAAAATAAAGGACTCGGTATCGGATCGGATGCAAAAACAATGTGATCAGGACATCCCTAGAAGTCGACCCTCTGTTAATGTATCGTTATGTTAGCTACCTGGCTAATGTTAGTGTCAAGATATTGATGTCACAGAAACCAAACCCACGCACTACACGTCATTAAAAAAAAGCGCCATCAGTGTTTGTTTTTTTTATGAAGCTCTGGGATGAACCCAGTGCCCTGCCAGCTCTTTTCTGCTCAAGAAAAAAATTATGTGGACACACGCCTTTAGAACTGTATAAATATAAACATGCCAATGTAACAGATCTGTGGTTTGCAGACACATTTAATGTGAACAGTTTTTCTGGTGATTATCCGTTGTTGATTATCAGTATCCACTCTTAGAGTGTGCGCACGTCTCAAACATTTATACAGCAGCTTATTTAAATGTTTATGGATCATATTGTATTTTTTATTCAAATTGTCCCCCAAGATGCACCACAGAGCTCCGCAGGAAGTCATTCCAGCCTGTGACCATCAACCTGTCCAACTCCTCCCTCAGAGTATCAGCAGCTCTGAGTCAATGACGGTCACCTGGACTTTATTCACCTCTCTGCATTTATAATTCATAATTATCTGTAATACTGTAATACACTGTGAAATAGCAACGACAGGTACAAGTATGAGCACAATATATATTCTATATATCTGAATGTAACACTAGTTTATACAGTGTTACGTAGCAAAGTGCACATATCTGTATATTTTTACATTCCGTTCATTATTCCTAATTTATTTTAAATTCACAGACTTCCATGTTATACTCTAATTCTTACTTATTTAAACTCTATTCTTTACAACAGAATGACTGGAACAAATCAGTTTCCCCTCAGAGATCAATAAAGTATTTCTGATCTGATGTGAACTATAATGTATAACCATATTTCTGCATAAAAACACCACTCAGAGTCACAAACTAGGTAAACAGGTTCTTTTTAATCTGATAAACTAACCTGGCAATCAACAGGCAACAGTAGGAAACAGTCTGTTAGCGTAGTTAGCAGCCTGTTAGCGTAGCTGGCAGCCCATTAGCATAGTTGGCAGCCTGTTAGCGTAGTTGGCAGCCCATTAGCATAGTTAGCAGCCTGTTAGCGTAGTTGGCAGCCCATTAGCATAGTTAGCAGCCTGTTAGCGTAGTTGGCAGCCTGTCAGCATAGTTGGCAGCCCGTCAGAGTAGCTGGCAGCCCGTTAGCGTAGTTGGCAGCCCATTAGCGTAGTTGGCAGCCCATTAGCGTAGTTGGCAGCCCATTAGCGTAGTTAGCAGCCTGTTAGCGTAGTTAGCAGCCTGTTAGCAGCCTGTTAGCGTAGTTAGCAGCCCGTTAGCGTAGTCAGCAGCCTGTTAGCTAAGCTAGCACACTGTCGTACGGTCTCTCTCTTTTTATAATAAACTCGAGGCAAATTCAAACCGAAATATTACAGAGAGAAGGAGTTTCACGTGTACACCAGATATCAGTCACAGAAATTAACTTCCGGTTGACTCGTCTCTGTACACAAACGGAAGTGGAAACGAGTCGTTTTAGTGTGGCTGTGAAGCCGTTTTTATCCATGACGTCATCAACACTCACCTCAACATCGCTGCTATCAGAGGACGAGCCTGCTGCTTGTCTTCTCCGGACCTTGTTGCTCCGGTGCTCCGGGTTCTGCTTGTCCTCCTCCATTCCGCTCCTCTACTGCTCCTCCTGCTCCTCCTGCTCCTGGTCCCTGATGGGGCCCTACACCCTCTACCTACCCACTTCCATTCCGTTTCCAGGTCTACGCAGGGGCTCCACCACATAAAGTGCCGACCCAAGCCACCTAATGAGGAGGTGAAGTGAATTATTAAGCCCTCCGACAACGAGCCTGCATTGATGCAGACTTCCTGATCATGTGCAACACAGAACTGTGTTCGTCACGGAAGAAGCTCCGCACAATTAAAGTTCCGCGCGACCAACCTGCGGAATAAACTGTTCAAACTGAGACAGACATTAATAATAATAATAATACGTCTCTATATAACAGGATACACATGTTCACAAACAGACGTGTGTGTGTGTAAGGACTGTAACTCACTAAATTGTGTATTACTGACATACATTACAATCATTAAAATATTATCAGACTCATATATCAGTTTGTTCTCAGACTGCAGTTGTTTTAATTATGATAGATTTGTTTATTAAACAGTGTCTGACTATAAGGTTCATATTTTATACAAGATCTATACGGGATCTTTTTCTGGTACAAGCAAAGGTTTTTATGGTTTTAAGAAATCACAATTATTTGATTAAGTGATTGTCATTGTTACCAATAATCGATTATGCAAAGTGTTTACAGTTTGCAGCCTTAAGTCCAACCAGAATTTAACGTCTGTCCGATGTAAGGGTCGGACGCCTTCCTGACAGCTGGGATGTTCTCCTTCATAAGTGTTTTTATTATAACCTCAGCAGGACAATGACACAGCACAGCTCTGCTGGTGTGTTATCAGGGTTTATGATGCTTTAGCCTTGGATGATGGTTGATGGTGTTTGTGGAAAATAGATTTTGGGTAAGTTTTCAGGATGAAAGACCTTTTGTTCATTAGGGCGGATAAAGTCCACTGATGATCACTGATCAAAGTTTGCCTCTGCTTGTGTGATGTGGTGAACTGGACGCCAGCCATACTGGTCTGATTTTGGCGTTGGCCTGCAAAGGCTCAGCATCTTATTGGCTTCAGCAGCTTTTGAGCAGGTCACCTGGGTCTCTATCATGAACTCTAAAACTAAGAAAAATCATTGTTTTTTTTTTTGCTGGCCAAATCACATTTTTGCTTTGACCCCATGACAGTATTTGATTAATTAGCCTCTGTGTTTGTAGATATCTTACAAGCCTGAGCCCCAAGAATGACGTCACATGCTGAATGAACAGTTGTATAATTAATGTAAAGTTACAGAGATTAGGTTTAGGCAATAAAGTTCCTATGGTTAGGCTTAGGCAAAGAAATATGAAGATATGAACATGTGACTCCAGGGGAATAGCCTGGGCGAAAGTCGTTTTTTTTTTTGGGACCCTTCCACCACCCAAACCTGCCTCCTTACAAGCAGAGGTGGGTAGTAACTAGTTACATTTACTTGAGTAACTTTTTGGATAAATTGTACTTTTCAGAGTAGTTTTAATGCAAAATACTTTTTATTTTTACTTGAGTTTTATTGTTTTAAAGCAACAATACTCTTACAATACAATATTTGGCTACTCTACCCACCTCTGAGTACTTAATTACATATAAATATATATGTACAGTATATATAAGAATATATTTGTGTTTCTTGTGCCTTGATTTATGTTATGTTTGTAAAGATTTAATTTATTTTTGTTTTAGTTAAAGGGGTATATAAATCAGACGTTATCAGACGTTACTCAACAGTTACTCAGTACTTGAGTAGTTTTTTCACCAAATACTCTTTTACTCTTACTCAAGTAATTATTTGGATGACTACTTTTTACTTTTACTTGAGTAATATTGTTCTAAAGTATCAGTACTCTTACTTGAGTACAATATTTGGCTACTCTACCCACCTCTGCTTACAAGCACTCGGGACTGCTTCATCGTCAGAGGTGGGTAGAGTAGCCAAATATTGTACTCAAGTAAGAGTATTGTTGCTTTAAAACAATATAAATCAAGTAAAAGTAAAAAGTATTTTGCATTAAAACTACTCTGAAAAGTACAATTTATCCAAAAAGTTACTCAAGTAAATGTAACTGAGTAAATGTAACTAGTTACTACCCACCTCTGTTCATTGTTTACTGCTGTCAGCGCATTGCTCACATGATCGCAGCCTTTCAGGATACATGAATTCGGGTACATTGCTTTTCATAGGAAAACATATGTCTGCAAAAACACAATGATTCTTATTTTCAGCTGATTATACACTAAAGAAAACAGCCTTTTTTTATCATATCCAGTTTCTCACAACATATCCCCCTAAATCCTACACACTGGACACCTTAAAGTAAAGGATCGGAGAGAGCTGCAACCTTCTCAACTAACTTTCCGAAAGAAAGCGAAACAAAAAATTACATTTCTCAAAATGATGAAGCTTTGCTTTAATAGAAGAAACATGATCAGACATCACAAATACAATTAAAGAGACATTGTACAGAGAAATAAAAAAGCTGATCAATATGTTAACAAGTTTAATTGTAAAAGGAAATCAATAAAAAAGGTGACACAGAGCAGCACTGATTCAAAATTCATCAGTCTGCTGAGGCAAACGAAGGTGACGTTCAATTATGTGTGGTGTGTGTGTGACTGTACAGAAGTGTGTGAGGGCTCTGACGTGCTGACAAAATATTTCCCATCTTATTGTTTGGCATCTTTAACTGATAAAGATTGATCGGCCTCCGTTCCTCGTCTGTGTGCAAAGGAAGTTCAGGATTTTCCAGCCCAAAGACCAGACTCCGGCTGGACCCAGTCTTCTCCCATGATGCTTTGCAGGCTGAAATCTTTGAAATACTCCAGGCGGTGGCTACGAGACAGAGAATTTAATATAAAGTGATCAAAACTCTCACAGAAACGCTAAAACATTCATACACACATTTACGCTGCACACGTCATTTTGGGTGTAATTACAGCGCAATGTGTTGGACTGATGTAAAAAGATTAAGTTGTCAATACTTTGTCATCAAAACCTTGTCAACTTTTTAAAAAAAAATGCTTAAAAAAGTCTGTCAGCAAAATATGAAACTAATTAAAGAGGCAACATGAAGATCAGTTTCTGTGAAAGAGTTGTAAAATGTCCTCTGTGGCTGCGAGGGACGTTTTCTGAAGTCCTCATGATGTCATCAGGGTTGTCTTGGCTGTGGATTGATCGTTAAATGTTCTGTATGTAACTTTCTACCTGTTTAATAATAATCATAGGAATCAAACTCACAAGTTGGGTTGTTGGCCCTCCACGAGGTCCTCCTTGGGGACGGGGTAGAGCGCCTCATATGTGCGCTTCTCTCCTGAGCCGTGGATGGCGTAGGAGTTCATCTTGTTGATGTTGGGAGGGAAGTACCCCCAGGGGACGAGAGCCTCACCCATCCATACGTCCCCTTTGATCGTGGCATTAAACACCATGGGCAGTTGTTGCTGGAGAAACAAAAATAAGAAATACTTTAACACATGACTCAAAGTGCTGCTGCTGACATCAATAAGTGCCTCGACGTCTACCTACCACGAACGCTTGGCCGACTCCTGACAGCAGTAATATCAGGTGCTGTCCATGTCTGAAATAAAAACACAGTTTCAAACTTTTGGTCACATGGATGTTTCAACCAATCAGAACTAACTCGCAACTCGTCACATACCAACACCTGATCAGAGGCCCTCTGCGTCAGATACCAATGCACCCTTTAGCAGCAGTATAAGATGCACTGGGCAACCATAGTATAAAGAGCAGGAAAGTCCACATAGAGTGGGCGGTAGGGGAATGGGTCAAACTTTTACCCAGGACCCAGCTGTTCATCTCCCGTGTAAAACGAAAAGTCAGTGGAATCATTTCAATGACAACGTAGTGTGCTACTATGTGTAGCATGCTACGCTAGTGACGCTAGTTATTTTGTTTATAATCAAACTTACTTACTTTAAGCCAAACCATTTTTTTTAAACCTAACCACGTGCTTTTGTTGCCTAAACTTCAGGAAGTACACCTAAAAAAACAAAGGTTTTGTTTACGTACGTTATAAACGTGTGGATCACCTAATATGATATTATCACGATACATAAGTCATGATACAATATCATTGTGCTTTTAAACATGTTTTGATATGCTGAGTGTTGCAATAACATATATTGTGATTTATTACCTTTTTTTATTCAGGAAAACCCTTGTCAACATTTGTTTAATCTGATGAGATAAAAGTTTTCATCTGGTCATCTAAATTCAGTCATTTGAACTGCGGCTAAATGTAATTTAAGGAATTATTTAAATAATACAAAAATCGATACTTGGCATCATATTGCCACACAAAAATATGATACTATGCTGTATTGATTTTTTTCACCCACCCCTACTACATTCTAGGTTTATTTCAGTGTTCCTTATAAAAAGGTATAATCACAAAGTTGGGGGACAGAGTTGTCTCGCATCTGAGCGGAGCGGAGGTATTAACAGTGCTGAATAGACCTCTGTGTGAAAGGGACAGCCGGCAGGACAGAACCATGGATGGGATGGGTGTGACCATGGGCGTAAATATAGACAGTGCAGGCAGTGCAGTTGCACAGGGTCCACCACAAATAAACTATAAAAATATTTAACTGAATGAATATCTCCTTATTTTGTCGTGTCGTTTATGTGTCTAGAATGCTTTGCAGCAGCTCTGTACTTACGGACAAAACTCCACTTCCAGGTAATTTTCTTTTGTGCTGTCGAGGAAGAAGCACTCCACAACTGAGGAGATGAAGAACAAATAATAAGAGTAACATTAACAATGACATCATTGATTTTAAGCTACAGTTTAACATCAAGTAAAAATAACAAATAACTTTTGTATATGATATGATATCTTCAGCTCCAATGACATGCGGGGTGCCACAGGGATCTATTCTTGGTCCTGTTTTATATTCACTTTATCTGTTCCCATTAGGACGCATTATCAGCCATTTAAGTGGAGTATCCTCCCACTGTTAGCCAATGTCACCCAGATCTTCCCGTCCTTTAAGCCAGATAACGTTAACTGTCTGAGCACTTCACCACTTTTAAGAAATGGATGACTTGTGATTTTCTGCAGGTATACTCAGACAGAAGTAATAATCTTTGGCCCTGATCAACCGGCAAATAAATTACAACCCTTTATTGGTCC